GTCATATTTCAGTGGTAAAATAAGTTCACTAGTCATATTCCAGTGGTAAAGTAAGTTCACTAGTCATATTTCAGTGGTAAAGTAAGTTCACTAGTCATATTTCAGTGGTAAAACAAGTTCACTAGTCATATTTCTGTGGTAAAACAAGTTCACTAGTCATATTTTAGTGGTAAAACAAGTTCACTAGTCATATTTCAGTGGTAAAATAAGTTCACTAGTCATATTTCAGTGGTAAAGTAAGTTCACTAGTCATATTTCTGTGGTAAAACAAGTTCACTAGTCATATTTCTGTGGTAAAACAAGTTCACTAGTCATATTTCAGTGGTAAAGTAAGTTCACTAGTCATATTCCAGTGGTAAAGTAAATTCACTAGTCATATTTCTGTGGTAAAACAAGTTCACTAGTCATATTTCAGTGGTAAAGTAGCTTCCATAATGTAGTTGTCATCATCAGAGACTTTTTCCCTCAGACATCTGTTCTGCAGCCGAGGAGTAACCAAGTAATAGATGTAGAAGATGAGCAGAACTGATCTTATTTATATTTATATTATAAGAAGAAACTTCTCTCTACCCACTGAAGTGTCTGATCCTAATCAACTAACCATTTTGTTACCATGAACTTAAGTGGTAATGACATCTGAAATCTTGCCAGTTGTATAAAAACCCTATGAAGGGATCAGACCTAAAATTCATACATTAACCCCCCCCCCCCAATAATTTAAATCAGTTTTACCTCATTATATGCAGGAATAAACACAGACAAATTTTTTAAGCTGGCTCCTAATCAATACAGTCACTCTTCCTGTTTCTGAGCCCACGTCAACTTCCATACAATTACCTAATTAAGATCACTTTAAATTTGGAATCTTTGAATTGTGATAGAATAAACTAAAATAACTGGAACTGTGATAGAGTAAACTACAATAGCTGGAACTGTGATAGAGTAAACTACAATAGCTGGAACTGTGATAGAGTAAACTACAATAGCTGGAACTGTGATACAGTAAACTACAATAGCTGGAACTGTGATAGAGTAAACTACAATAGCTGGAACTGTGATACAGTAAACTACAATAGCTGGAACTGTGATAGAGTAAAGTACAACAGCTGGAACAGTGATAGAGTAAACTACAATGGCTG